GGGGGTACGAACCAACATGAACCCCAATTTACGACGAAAAACAACTTGCACTTAATATCGCAAAATATGTCAATAAGGCTAAGTGTCCCATCTTCTAGATTTGGACTAGATATCAGTAATCCATTATTACTGGATTTTGTTATTACTACCTAATTATGTATGTGCTACGATATCAGCGACTAACGACATTTACGGACACCACAACAAAGGTTAAAGTTTTGTCGTAGTGGACACAAAAGAAAATAAGAAAAGATCTTTTGTAAAAACATGACACTGCGGACCCGAATACCCGTTTTTTTTTTAGTTTAAACGATTAGACCATAAAGATATCAAGTAATATTATCAGGGAAAGTGTAATCACGCAATATGTCCAAGCTAGACGATGTACACAATACGGAATATAGCACATATTACGTATAACAGCGATCTAACTAGATAATGCTTTGTAAAACACTTTTACACGCACTAAAATTCTGCGTTTTTTTTTGCATAACGCTTCTTTGCCACACAAAGAAGACAGTTGGGTGTACACGACTGCTCGGTCCTACGAAATCGTCGGGAATTCGAGAATGGGGCTTAAGAAGTATGTAAAAAAATCCAACTACCATTAGCCTTTTTTACATAAAGGGTAGAGACGGTAAACACCACAAAAATGTCAGCTCCCGAGCAACAACTAAGATGTCTGTAAAAAAAAAGTTAAAAGTATTTGTGGCCGCAGAAGAAGAAGATCTTCCTGCTCATGTTGGTGTGGTGGGTAATGAACAGGTGGATATTCTGGCCAAACAAACACTCAAGTATGGACATAGAAATTCCACTCAGTAAAGCGGAGGTTAAAACATTCATACAGAAATATGCACAAACAACATGGCAAGATCATTGGGACCTTAGTGATACAGGAAGAAATCTTTATAAAATTCAAAGGTATGTGGGGGATGGAAGGAAGGTGGGGTTTAAAAGAAGGGAGGAAAATGTCATTTCTCAGATGAGAATAGGTCATACAGGTCTCAATCATACATTAAGTATAATAGGAACGCATCCAACCGGAAAGTGTATACACTGTAGCCAGCCAGAAACTGTTGAGCATGTTTTACTGCTTTGCAGGAAATATAGTACTCAGAGAAATGTGCTTTTCCAGACACTGAAGAAAGCAAAATTCCATGACTTGTCGCTATCAGGAGTCAGGACTGTTAGGGAAAACATCAGGCAATATATATTGTGAGATTATTACATTTCTAAGATAAATTGTTACATTTAAAAATAATCTAGAGTTTTGGTTCTTTGTTTTGTTTCTTTTGTTTCTTGTTTTCTGCTTAGTCTCTTGTCCACACTCCAGTCCAGTTGGTGGCGGTAATGCACCTACAAGTTGGTTTGTCAACCGCCAATAAACACAAAAGAAGAAGAAGAAGATCAAACTACCGTAAAGTAGCAGCAGAAGAAGAAGAAGAAGCGGCTTTGTGACTTAAGCTAGCGATATCGCCTCGACCAGTATCTGTCCGGCGCTGAGAGGCAGTAAAAATAGATACAATCCCCGTTGAAGGTGAGTGAATAGTCGCTGTTTTGTTAGTAATACAACGACATACAAATGGAAATCCTGACTCCGTGCAGTTGGCTGTGTAACTGCAAGGCTAGCCGCTAACCTGTATGCTAACGACAGCTAACACTAAATAGCTCGCTAACCGCTAACTTAGCTACGTGTAGCTACATCGTCACAACATATGTTAACCATTAACAAACAAAAGTATGGAAATGCATACGTGCATGTGAATCTGATATTAAAAAACACAACAACAGAGAACACAGCTCGCTAAATATTATTATTTGTTCACACACAACCCGATGCCGTAGCGCGTGGCACGCCATTTGCTGCGCGAGCGATGTTGTACAGGTACTCATGCCTATCGTTGGAAACAGTACAACTAGTACTTGCAGTAAGGAGGTCAAAATGGACGGTTCAACGATTTTAATAACCAGATATCCAGAAATAAAGTTACAGTTTGCATTACTTTGCAGAATAATCATTCATTTCCTGCAGAAAGTTCCAACCCCGCCTCTCTCATACCAACTGTTTAAATAATATCACAAGTGGTCAACTTACTGATAACGGCATTGGATAATGAGAAAGTATATCAGTTCTGTGTTGATACACTTGCATATTATTTAATTACCTGAGGTCTTTCAAAGAGAGCAAATGGATAGATGAATAGATTGATATACAATTTAGGTAATACATTTGGAATTAATGTTTTAACAATAAACGTTGAATGCAAAGAAAAATTGCATTGTTTAGAGTTATATTATGAATACAAACTAACGACAAAACAAGTTATAGATTTTTTTTCTTTTTTCCCTTCCTCAGACGGTTCCTGTTTTGAATTGTGTCGACACAGAATCCAGGGCATCGTTGAAGTTAATGTATGTAAAGGGCTGCTTCCTAAAAAGCATTATTTAAAATTCCTCCAACCATACATTAAAGGTGGGGTAGGTACTTTTGGAGAAACCAGCTCGAGTGCGCTAGAATTTGAATATACACAGCCGGAATAAAACTGCCACTTCCTTACAGAGCCCCTCCTCCAACACACACGAACGCGCACATGACCAATGAGGGCACGAGATAAGTTTGTGCACAGATGGAAGGCTGACAGGCAGGTAGGCCATCCAGTATTGGGCTTCCAAAGATAACATTTTTTTATGATTTTTTTTTTGTCAAAGCACTTAAGATATTCATTGCTATCGGCATTCCATGGAATATAACAAAGTGTCTCGGTATCTCGAGCCGGTTTCTCAAACTTATCTACCCCACCTTTTAAATGAACACTAAATGCTTTCATGTATCATTTTGAAATCTGTGTTTTGCTGAAATCCTGTTACATTGGGCCATGTTGGCTGTGTAAAGACTTCATCTTACCTTGAAAACTTTTTTAATCATTGGTTTCTTCAACCTATAGAAGAAAAAAAAATGTTTTGACATTGACAAGTTGATCATAAACCCATGATTTTAATTTTATTTCCTCAATGCAATTTTCCTCGAGATATTTTCAACATTTGGAGCAAAGAGAATGATTTAAACAAATGGTGCGTTGCTATTTGTGGGGAGTCTGTATTGCGAATTAGTGAAACCATACAGACATTAACTGAAACCAGCTCCACTGCTAAACAATTTAAAGGACAGACAACGTTGAGATACGCAATGGGACCCTAAACTTAAATCGTGAAACATTTAAAAATGTCACAATATAACGTTGCCTTGACTCTCCATGGGTATCTGTGCCATTTTCTTGCACTTTCTCTTTTTAACTGCAATTAAACGTTGCGTTAGGGTTTGCGGCTTGGTGTTGCCTTCTGTGAAATGTGTTTTCAGCATTGAGTTCAAACCGTTTTCGGCTTATTTTATCATTAAATGGAATCAGATGCTATCTGGTTTAGCTTGCGGACGCATTCTACGATAAAAAAAAAAAAGTTTCTTTACTTCAACAAAAGATGTTGCCAATATATACGATGAAAAAGTCTCCACTGGATTGCCACAATATACCGCCTACCCCTGGGACAAATGTCTTGTATCATGAAAATAATTTCTGGCTTGATTGGCTTTGTTTCTCAACACATTGCCTTGCATCTTAAGCTGTATAAAGCCAGACAACATCTTTCCCATCCCTCCATGAGGTATCATTTGGAAGGATGTCCATTGCATCTCCGAATTTGCGTCATGGATTTACATTTGCGCTTTATATAAACCGCATTAATCGTACTCTGATATTCCACCAAGTCAATTGCTCTAATGCATTACGGTTCAGTGCAGTGTTAAATCTTCTGTCAAAAATGATTTGCGTTTTTTAATCAGCTTGTTTCAATTTAGGTATTTTCAACAGTTGAACATTTATTTGCCACTGCATTTACGTTGTCTGAACTTTGTGATTTTGGTCTGCCACTTTTTGCTCTGCTAAAACTTTTCATCCCTCCAAGGAATTTGATCTTTTCTCTTAATTCACTGACATCTTTCAGGATTGTGGACGACAATTTAAAGAAGCTTATTATTGAACCATCAAACCCTTTCAAGCATTTGGCACGCACGAAGAAACCAGCAAACCCTTTTGGATTGAGCCATGTCTCGCAGAAGAAGCCGCAGCGCATCCCCAGGAAGTTTTTCGCGCTCCTGCAGCAGTAATGACCCTAGAGATTTGGAGAGACGGATTTTTGTTGGGAATTTGCCGACCTCCGACATGGAAAAGAAGGATTTGGAAGAACTGTTCAGCACATATGGGAAAGTAATCGGTTAGTAAAACACAATACAATCAATAGGTTTAATTCATGATAATAATTTTAATCAAATCTATTAACATTACGCATCATGAGTCGTGTTTTTCATGATAGGCAAACCTGTGAAATTCATAATGATATCCCTACTGCTACTATTTTTTCAATTAGATTAATGGATAGTTATGTTTTTCAAAATGATCTTAAGACTGTACAACTTAAAATGTTCCTCTTCCAGGCGTGTCCATGTTTCGCGGGTTCGGATTTGTACAATTTGAACGGGTTGAGGAAGCCGAAGCTGCAAAGGCGGCTCAAAAGGGTCGACTGTATAAAGGTTATAAAATAGGTAAGCCTTTACTGCAGTGGGTGTGATTTTCTGCCAAAGAGAATAGGTGTAAGGCAAACAAACACATTTATTGGAAGGTTGTTGTTTTTTTCTTCTGTTCTGACTGTTAAAATCTTGATTGGGCATTATATTTTCAGTGAACTTCCCTTGCCAGCAAAGAAGTAGCACATTTTCTGTTTTAACAATTACAAATAGTTAATTTATATGTATTTTAATAAGCTGCATGCCCGGTGATCAAACTAGTGCCTGATAACCCACATCTGACAGAGTTTAGGTTGTTTCATTTGACTTACAACTCAACAAAAATGAAGATTCAGCCTAGCTGATTTTTCTACCTCTTTTTTATTTGTAGACATGTTATATTATTGAATTACAAAGCAAATAAACAAGTGCATTATTACATTCTGGCAAAGCCTTGATCTTTGACAAATCTCTTGTGAATTTTCTTCAACATTTAAAGGTCTCGCTTATGTTCATGTGTTTTCTGAAGGTAACATTTCAAGTAGAAAATCAAATGTACTAAGGCTGTACCAAGTCTTTGTTAAAGTCAATGTTTTCGAGGTTGTCCAACCCATTCTCGTTAACACAATACTTAGAAGAAATGTATTCAAATTTAGCACAAACGTCCACTTGGACTGAAGGATTAACTGGTTTTGATTATTGGTGGACAATAGTCACCTTGAGCCGTATAAACACATTTTTGGCCAACACTGAAGAATTCATATGCCAATTGTGGACAACAGGACTAGTCCAATTTCAAAATTGACACTCATGGGTCTTAATGAACTCTCAGGCTTTACAACGCTTTGGAGCAATTGGAAATGTGTTGATTAAACGAGTCAGAAACAATCAAACTCTGGAATAAAATTCTACAAATATTTGATTATTTATAATAAAGAAATAAACTGTGAAAGAATTCCAGCTTTAAACAGAAAAAGTAGCCATGCAAAAAGAGAAAGCAGCGCTTTATTTGAATCTTTTAGAATAGGAAATTCAACGTAATTAAGCGTCAAACTATTCTGTACAGCCCCTGTAATTTCCGCATTTAAGATTGGCTAGTGTTAATCGTTCTTTTGAACAGTACTTGAAGTAGTTTAATGATCACTTCATTTCTTGTTCATCCTACAATTCAATTTGACGGATTTGGCAACTTCATTTGCTGCATTTTGTCGCGTTCAGTTTGGACTTTCCAACTTGGATGTTGGAGCTCATTTTTATTTGGATCGTGGAAGTAGTGACGCGGCCACTCCGTCCTGCGTAAAAACAGAAGCTGATAAACATGTCACTGTTATGTTCAACGTTTGGATTGATTTATTTTCAGATGTAAATATGGCAGTGGAGCGACGGCAACCTAAACCTCAATCCCAGCAGAGCCCTCCACGAAGGTAAAGTAACGCGAAATGGGTGTGAAGATCTACCATCACCTTAAAAAAAAAACAACAACAAAGGCGTTAAACGTGTTCCTCAACTGTCGTTTACCACCAGTTTTATCATCTGAATGTAATTTCAAAAAAGTGTCGGTCTCAAAGATTCAACGCTTTTCAACATTTGTGTTCTTTGAGGGGGTTAGTAGTGTTTTTCATCTTAGACCTAAAATATACAACTTTCAAGATGATAGTTTCACCCTGCCCCGGACCTTTGACACAGGTCCATGTTTGCCTGTGACACATCCAGAATAGATTCAGCAATTAAAACATTAAAATGTATGTAAGGGAGATTATATTGTAGGAATGTGCATTTACACCATTTACACCCATAAGATCACAGTCCAGGGCAAGTGATGTGTTTTAATGGTTATTTATTAGGATGCGGATGCATTGTGAATACGTTTTACTTTTGACATGCCATATAGCTATATCTCAAGCTAAATGAGTAAATGTTCATATTGTGACACAACTAAATGTTGGAAGAAGGGGGAAAAAAATAGAGGATTTTGCTTAATTTAGAGCAAATAATTGTGGAAGAGCATAGTAAATACTGTTCCAACCCTAAATAGAACGGAAGACTAGGCATCATGTACCTTTTTCTTAACATGAAAAGTTCAAACTGCACTTACCATGCCCACTTGGATACACCTAGGTCCTTTCATGCTTGTAGAAACTGTAACAAAGCCTCAGCTGTCATTTTCTACTGTTTGCTTCCAAAAAGAGTTTAGACCGGATTGTTCCACGCAATCGAGAATAAAGCTGAGATTAATTACTTGTACTTTCTAAAGACATTTCAAGCACATGCTTTTTCATTCACATTTCTTACACAGTATTTGCAGCATGGGAATGTGTTTCACTGGAGAGCAAAACACAAACCATCTCAAGCAAATTGTGCTAAAGCGCAAAATAATTTGCCTTGTTGTTAAACCACTTTCAAAGCTGGACTTATGGTCAATGAAACTCAAGCGGTCGTCGTCTCGGTTTTGTTGCGTGCAAGGATCGATGGACATTTTCAAAAATCATTGTTGAAAGGACATTTATCGGACCCACCTCCTGGATTGAATTTGTTAGTTCCGTTTGCGATGAAACAATACCAACTATAGGCTTTTCTGCACCAGTCGTGGGCAGAAGTAACCCATTGCAGTATTTCATAGGCAACCCAAACTCGAACCGGCCTTTTACTAATTGCAAACTTTTCTCTCAGGGCCCCGTACAGCAGCTACGGAGACGGCAAAGAGCCCCGGCCTCGGTCACGCTCACCTGTTTATGCGCGTGAGCCTCGGGAAAGTCGTGACGGACGAGATGCTCGGGACAGCCGAGAAGGACGAGATGCTCGGGATAGCCGTGAAGTGAGGGACCCAGGAAGGGAACCAGGAAGGGAACCAGGAAGGGAACCAGGAAGGGAACCAGGAAGAGAACCAGGAAGAGAACCAGGAAGAGAACCAGGAAGGGAACCAGGAAGGGGCCACTCTCGTGACCATGATTACCGGTACCGTACCTCAGAGAGCAGAGACAAGGACCCTCGTGATCCTGCGTACAGGTGACTACTGACACTGAGCCCATTCATTTGAAATCCACCTTTTGCATCTTTGTCTGACCTTGAAATGTCCCCATGCAGCAGGGAAGAATATGACCGACTCTACCGCAGTGGCAGCGGTGCAGAAGAGTTTTACCGGAGGAAGGAAGAACCCTTCAGGGAGCCGTTCAGAGATCCCTGGAACGGGCGCCGTGAGTCAGAGGGTGTGTACGACGGTGTACTTTCCAAATATTATTGATTAATTACTGTTTGTGGTTATGGGCAGGGCTGCACATAACTGGTGCGCAGGTGCACCTTCGCCAAAAAAAGAGCACCGGGTCATTTGAAACAAGGCGCATTTGCGTACCAACATTGAGAGAAAGAAGAGAGAAAAGAGAGGAGAGAGAGAGATATTTGCGAGTTGCATATGAACTCTGGGCCGGCCCGAAGCACTGGCGTTATAGATGTTTGCCTAGGGCGCCAGATCTGGGGAGATCTTGCCTAGGGCGCCAGATCTGGGAGAAGATGTTTCTACAATAATGTGGAGGGAGAGTCCTCTCCAGTCAGACTGAGAGGCTGATAACTACAGCTCAGTGAGGTAAAGGAGTGTTTAGATAGTTCACTTTAGTCTAAGTTCAAACGGTTTGGTCACAATTTATGTAAACACATATTTTTAAAGGCACTCCTTTATAATTATTGGGATAAACAGGTTTGAAATCATTCCAATGTATACTATAGGACCGTAACCAAAAATATCCTTTAAAACTGGAGAGATAAAAAAATGCATAAATAAATGTTAACTATAAGATATGAATGAACAACACAAATTAAATAAGTTACATTCATTTTTTATTGGCTATGGTAAGTTATTGGTTATGTTCACATACTTATTTGATTACATCCACTTGTCTAAGATGACAACAGAGACTTTCGACCCAAAACCAGCTGTTGACTTGTGGATGCAAGCAGCTAATCGCAGACTCAACCAGAGAGAAAGTAGTAGGCCTACATCATCAGCTACCATGTCTGACAGAGAGGAAGACAGTGAGGAGAACAGTCAGGAGGGTAGTGATGACAGCTTGTAGGATTACTGGTCGTGCTAATGTTGTCTTGTGTTCACCTCTGCACGTGTGTTCAGTGCCGTGTGTCTTGCAAATAAAGTCAAGTCCGCCTCAAAAGTTACGGTTTATTTCATTTTAAGGATTAGCACCAAGCAACATCTCCAGGTGCTCCTTTGAGAACCATGGCAAAAAAGTGATGTGCCCCCCCCCCGGTTATGGGTATCATTTTGAATGGAGTTTTCTTAGTAGCTCAGTAGTCGAGATGTGAGGATGCAGCTTCATTACCAAACAGACAAACCTACAACAATCAGATTTTAAATACTTTTCAGCTTTCTGTCCATTTCATAGTAAACATTTTTTGAACAACTGCAGTATTAAAACAAGGCTTTATTAGCATGTTTTTGAAGTCCTTCTATAATTGTTATTCAACCTTCTGAAAAATGTTCTGACTCTACAGCTGCAGCGGTAGATGATCGTGCGAGACCAGAAGAGCGTCGGCGTAATGAATTGTATCGACAGTACTACGAAGAACTCCAGCGACGATACGACACAGACCGCCCGGTCGACTGCTCCGTGATTGTCGTCAACAAGGCGCAAAAGTATGTCCACCCTCCGCTCTTTACAAGAAATCATAGATCAGAAACGTCTCTAGATTAGATAAGATTGGACTCAACTTTATTGTCTTTGCAGAGTACAAGCACTAGGACAATGAAATAAACGGAATAAGCATCTAACCAGAAGTGCAGTGTTATTCGTAGCATAATATAAATATCTCTGTTCGACCAGTACATGGCATGTTTTTATTTCATATCGTTCCTGTGTGTGTTTCTTTGTGTGTTTTTGCTTGAAAATCTATTGTCGGGAGTATGCGGAGACGGTCGGGAGGAAAATCCGTGATGTGGGCATGGTGGTGGATCTGATCTTCCTCAACACGGAAGTGTCGCTAACACAAGCCCTGGAGGATGTCGGCCGAGCTCGCACTCCCTTTGCCATCATCATTACCCAGCAGCACCAGGTGCACCGCTCCTGCACTGTCAACATCCTGTTCGGCACACCGCAAGGTAACGCAAGCCCACAGTATCCACCTCTTTGGAACTGAACACTTCTCCCTCTTTACATTTGTTTTCAGTAACTTGTCATGTTCTTATAGTATTTCCTTTTGGCAAAAAAAAAGAAGAAAATATATATATATATATTTTTAATAATAGTTCTGCTTATTTTAAAACGTAATGTCTCTTACTCTTTATGTATGCATTATGATACACAACATTCCGCGTATGTGTAAACCTACTTGGCAATAAACCTGATTCTGCTGGTTGGTCACCAAAGCGTGCATCTTCTGTTTTTACATGCTAACATTCCTCTTTCTTTAAATCGTATTATTTCCGTAGAGCATCGAAACATGCCAATGCAGGACGCCATGATGCTGGTTTCCCACAATTATGACACCTACAAAGTTGAAAACCGCGAAAAAGAACGCGAGGAGATTGCCAGAAAGGCTGCCAAGATGGCGGACGATGTGTTACTCAGGGAGCCGGACAGAGAGGGCCATCCCGTCTCTGTGCTCACCTCCATCACACTGCTGTCTGAGAACAGGTATGTTAATATTATATTAATATTTTAAGACCAGAGAAGGTAACATTAATGTAACTCTCTGATACCTTTTATTTTCAATTTCCATGTTTTGCATGCATTGTTTCTTAAAAAGCTCCCACACTTTGAATAACTGTATTTCTCTGTGTGGTAGATTTGTCACCCCAGAGGAATTGGACAGTCTCATCGCCTACCTGAACGACAAAAGAGGACGGCTGCTGCGAAGCACGGCAGACCCTCTTGCAGGTAAGACAAAATCATTTTCGCCGGACAAGAAACTTGGTGGCTGTAATCATTAATCCTGTCCTTGCTGGCTCCAGGATTCGTACGGTCATTGAAAACCTGGAAAAGTCATGGAAATTCAAAATGCAAATTCAAGGCCCTGGAAAAGTTATGGAAAACAATATTTTTCCCAAAGTTTTGGAAAAGTCATGGAAATGTAACTAAAGTTGCGTCAAATATAATTTACATTTCATCTAATCGCCGAAATAATCTGCGGTCGCAAGCTGTTATGTGCCATCATGACTAGGGTTGCAAAGGGGCGGAAAGTTTCCATGGGAGGTTAAGCTGGGGAATTTTGGAAATATTCGATGCAAAATTAAACACAAAAACATGACATTTCAACAGATTTTTTTTTAAAACATTTAAAAAAAAAAAGAAGTAGAACAGAACAAGGTTTAATTATTTTATTGAACAATTATTTGTTTCATTGAAGAACGAAAACAGGAATGTTGCTCCAATAAACTCGGAGAGTCCTCTCTCGAGAGAAGGTGGAAACCAACATCTTTTGAGAAATTTAAGCAAATCGTATCGATCGATTGGTCTAAGATTATTTGTTGTCTAGCGGTGACACGAATGGTTGATTTCTGGTGTCGGAGCGTTTGTGACGCCACACATGCCGAGGAAATACCCATGCGTTATAAACTTCTCGACCTCGTCGCAAGGCTACGAGAGGCAAGAGGAAAAGTCTGCTCTGTAATGGTGCACTTCTGTGATGCCGAGCACAACACAAGGTACTTGGACAGGAACCGGTCCTTTTTGTCCGTAAGCGAACAAAATTAATAAAACGCTAGATCTAAAGAAGAGAAAAACTTCACTCTTCAACAGGCAGTCAGCTGCACTGATTGCCTGCCTGAACTGACTAGGATTAGATATATTTTCGTAAATAAAATTAAACACATCGTTAGTCCAAAATATTTAAAACCGTCGTGACAACTCGTAAAACTTTACATAAAAGTACGAAGACACGTTTCGAATCAGAAAGATAGAAATATCGGTCTCCACATTTCATTGGTTCAAGTATTTGAGTTCATGATATGAACCCATTTTACAACTCTATGAACTGAAATAAATTCATAAAGTTACAAAACGATGAAACAATAAATGAGGAGATGTCAAGTCTCCATTTACCATAAATTATGGAAATCAAATGAAGTGTCTACACCTACTTACTACACTTTAGATTAGTTCACAATTTAGTCTGAAATCAAGGTGGACCCTCATTTAGGTGTTCGATGGGACGTCTATATGTTTCAGTAAGGTTTGATCGACGTGGAAATGGTCGAAACTCTTATGAAATTACTAGTTAGTAATTTTTGTATAGTATAGATAATAAGACTTTTACCTGGTTAGACGTGTTGCTGATGAAGATGACAGCGATGAAATTGAAATAAAACTACCTTTATTTTTTAGGTAGTTTTACCTAAACCTTCCTTCTAAAACGTACAAATTACCTGAAAAACCTCCCTCTTCCCGAGAAACAGTAAATTGTAAAACTTACCCTGAAACACCCCTAGAAACCTACCCCCCACGTAAAAACAAGTAAAAAATTACTCACCCCAACCCCACCTACTCAT